TGGGTGGCGTTAAAAATTTCATTGGTTGCCACCACATCCGGCTTTGGTACCTCTATTTTTTGTGACACTTTTTTTTCTTCCTTTTTCACTTAAGTGACTAATTATTAGACAATACTACCTAACATTTTTCAAATTGAAGTTAAGCTCTAGCCAATTAAGGTTCGCCCCATACAAACACTCAACCTTAATTTATAAATGTATCCATTTGTTTGTCCTATATTGTTAAAAGAGACAAGTGAGATGTGAAATTCCTTTTGTTATTTATTGAGAACAAGATACTTATGTTGTACGTTAACGCATAAATAATTCACTTAATCACTTCTAAATTATTCAACCAATGCATGTAGGCAATAGTTATATATAGCCACACTTCAAAGTATTAAAGCCACACAAATTTGTTAATTAATAAATAATAAAATTAGTGATATTTATTATTAAACAAATTAAAATTAATTTACAAATTGATATTTTTAAATATAATAACTAACTATTGATAAATAAATAATAATAATTAAAAAAATAAAAATACTTATATAACTTTAACACTTTTCAGTGTGGGAATAACATGTAGATGCATGTATCTACATCCTTTAACAATCAAAACAATCATACTATATCATGGAATATTCATCTTGTACAAACAAATTATTCAATAAACAAATCATATTTATTTAAATTGAACTTTGACTTTGTGCCCCTTTCCCCACTCTATATTGCCAAGTTTAGGGTCATCCACACCACTTAACAGCAATTAAATCTAAATTATATAACTAATGCTGATGTGGTAATCTTTTTATACTTAAATGCTTGTAACCTATAATATAAAAGTTTCAAAATTAAGAGCTAAACAACTAAGTCTCATGTTACATTAGCATCTTAATGTAAATGAATTGCCACACAAGTGAAAAAAAATGTTTAACTTATATGATAGCATGTGGTTCCACCGTCAACATAAGGCTAATTTGCTTAAATCTAGGCATTTAGGGGCTTGCATGCCTCTTTTTTTCTTTAAGATTTTATGTGAGAAAATAGGGAAAGTCCTAAGACTTAACACTAGTTTTTGCCTATCATCAATGGCCAATCTATGTGAATTCATGTCATCTATTTTGTTTTTTCGTTTGGTCTTATTTTTTTACGTGAATACTAACGTTGATCAAAAAACCCTTTCGTGATAAAAATCTTGCAAAAGCAATCTACATGCTCTGGGAATGCTGAATAAAAAAAAGAGGCCACATAGGCTATTTTGAGGTATTTTTATTGTTCATGGGGTTCTTTGATTTATATTAGCATTCATGTGAAAAAAGTGAGACCATACAAAGGAAAAAATTAGATGGCATGAGGTCAAATGCCTTGTGCTGTTAGTGATAAGGGATCATTTGCATCTTTCTAGGAGCTTGAGGATTTATTTGTATCATTTAAGGTGTTTGAGGGTTTATTTGTACGATTTTTAGTTTAGGGGCTCACAAGTTAATTCAGAGTAAGGCTGAGGGCTTAAGAGGAGGTTTTACCAATAAACAATAGAATAAGGGGGAATGGTTATGACTACCCAACAAATTGTTGGGACCATCCAAACTTTTTCTTCTTCTTTTATATATATATATAGTCTGTTATAGTATTTGAAAATATAATGGGTGGTGTTATAGGAATAATTTTTTTATATCACATTTTGATACAGCTTCTATATATCATTAAATAAAAAGAAATGCTTTTTGTATAACTTTTTTGTCTTACCTTTTTGTATAACTTGATGTGTCATTAAAATGATTGGTTCTTTTAATTTATGTAG